GATATAAAATAGTTTGGCCATCTTTCTCTTCTTTGAAACTATACAAAATCATCTACTTGGGGCATAAAATACAAAAAGAAATAAAGGAAAAGATGTCTGTCATGATATTTAAAGTCTCTTGTGATTACACATTTAAATGTCATTATACTATATAGGTTTTATTTGATTGGGATTCATATTGAATTCACTAGAAAATTTCGGTTCTGTTTAGTTTGTTTTTATTTTGAACAACAACAAAATTCGCCATTCAAATTTGTGCAGATTCTCCACTGGTTGGTTATATATACAAGAAGGTGAGCTATATCTTGAAGCTTCTTCAATCTTGCATTTGGAATTGCATATTAGAAAATAATTTCCAAGCAAGAATTGTACCCATGCATCATAAAGCGACTTGTCATGATCAAATGCAACATTATATGGCACAATAAATTTGCAGTAAACCTACTCTCTTTTTTTTTGTCACGCAGTAAACATACTTAATAGTACAATTCGGTAATTTTTTTTAATACTTCTAAGAGTAGTATTTTTCTTGTGATTTTTTAGTGTTTGAGAAGATCGCGAATCAGATTATTCTGTTCTCGACTCTCCTTGCTCTGAAAGATTTGTGATGTTCGTTGAGGCAGAGGCTTGGAACTTGCTAGACCCGAGTGTATCATGTTTTGTTATTGCTTATTGCGCCTCAATGCAACATTTTCATGCAGTATGCAGTCCTTGCGTCATGGTCGATTTAGAACATCAAGTCTTGGCCAGGTTTGGTCTATCTGCTCTCTTCTCCTTAGCTCACGAATCTAGGAATATTAGGTATTCTATATATGAGAAGAATGTTGGATTTGCGACTAGTGTACCAGCTGGTTATACTACATTAGCAGTTGCTCGTACTCTGCTACTAGGAATATCTAGGTCATGTCTTATCCCTATCGCGTCTTTGCGATACTTTACTGCAGTATGCAGGTTGTCATATGGTCTCTCCTTGACCATAACACTCGTCTCTCTTGAGATGGAAAGAAGAGCACTCTTCATTGTTTTTGCTCCATTTAATCTTGGTATTTGGGACACATATTGCTCTATTTACTCCTTTATGGAAGTTGTTTACATCCAATCTTTCCCTCCTCTCGTGAGTGATTGTATTGTAGGGAAAACAGATGTCGGAGTTTGCTTGGCTATTTGCTTCTCTAACCCTTGAGATCGCAAGGAAGATTTCTTTGCATCAAGTCTCTCACACTTGTAGGTTTGTACCTCTTGTGCTAGTAGCAGAGACGATCATATTCAAATCTGCATGTTTTGCCGCTTCAACTATAGAGATCCCACACTTCATTGTGTTTTCAGTTTTTCTTTCTCTTGTCAAGTTTCTTGGATGTATTGTCAATGAGCAGGAAAGCATCCTAGATGACATTTGTTGTCTTTTAGGCCCTTTTTCTCCTATCTTTGTCTTTCATGTTATTTGTACGGCATATGTTTTAGCCGATTTATTTACTATGTACTGTAACACTTTCTCCATGATTGGAGTTTAATTTATTTATAAAAGTTGGTCTGATAAAAAAAAAAAAAAAAGAGAAGATTAAACGCAATTTGATATGCTAATCCAAAAAAAAAAATGCTTATCCAATAAAATCCCAATTGAATTTTGGATTTCAAGTCCGCTAAAACCCCAATAAAAGGAAGCTGAGAATCATTAGAAACTTTTCAAGTCCGCGTCTAACAAACTTTTTCAGAGTCTCCCAAATTTCCGATATCGATTTCTTCCGTTCGACGATTCCGTTATCGGAATTTCTTCCTCCGCTTCTCTCTCGTAGCGTAGTCCGTCGCGCTCTCACCGCTCCATGCCGTATATCTCTGATCGTGACTCGCCGGCTTCCTGTTTCGCAATGTCGACTGAAGAAAATCCAGGTTCGATTTCTCGCTTAGATCGTTTGTCTTCTCTCTCCGTATCGTTTACATTTGCTAGAAAGAGTTGAGAGTTTTGATTATTGGAAATTGGATTTACGCATTTCGAAACTTGAGTGTGTTATCGCGGTTTTGCTACTGTGTAAAGAAGATTGGGTAGGGTTTTGATCAGATTAAGGTCGTACGATTATCGTCTGAGGAATCGAGACTTACTAATTTTCTGCTTGAATTTAGGCAAAATTTCTCAAGATTCCGAGCTTTTTGACAAGGTTGGCGATGGTGTTCGTCCTGTTAGTGAAGATGTTGAAAACGACTCGGTAATCTTATAGATTAGATGAAATATAGTTTCGTATTGCAATCCCTCTGATTCTGAAGTTGGATAATTGGTTCAGGATAAACGGAAAGACGACCAAGTGCTGGCCTCTGGGATACCTACTACTAGTCTTCTTGTGAATCCTTTGTCTGGCAATGCTGCTCAAATCCTCCCATTGTTACAGAATCTGCTGCTCCAAAATGATATCCAAAGGGTATTTGAGAAACGCTTCTTGTTTGTTCATAATCCACTCTTAAATGTTGTTTGGATTTTCATCTTCTACTGTTTTTATCTGCTTGATTGGCAGGAAAGATTAATGGGATTGATTCAACTCTATGATCCAACTGCTGGTAAAGTTTTGCTCTTCTGTAAGCAAAAGCAGGTTTTGTATCTTCTCTGTTTTCATGATTGTGATGTTGATTTTGTACAGAAAACAGGAATCCAATCGTGAATGCGGAAGGCGGGCAGGTTGCGTTTTGCTTGTCATTTTGCTAATGAAATTTGCATAGAGAGGAAGTTGTATGAGGAAAGAAATAAGAGGCTTAAGTTCTGAATTCACAGATAGCAACGGAGACAGATCTTTCGACTGTGGTTCAGTTTTTGGAGCAGAGGTAATGAAAAAATAACCTTTACAAGGTTAAGACTTGTTAGACTATAACATAAATCTTTCCCACGAGTTAACCATTTATTCATCTTCCAAATTGTTTGTTTTTGTTCTTTCCAAAAGTGAAAAAATGGTTGATTGTTGTAATGGTTTCCAAATGCTACAGCGTGCAGAAGCTTGAAGAGGATCTTGAGAATCAGAAGAAAGCAAACGCTCAGGTATGTGACATGTAAAGATAGCCACACCAACATACCATCCATCTTCAATCATTACCATCTTCTTCTTTTTCTGTTAGATCAACATTAGGATTTATGAAGGTTCCTAAAATTGTGGCAGCTAGAAGATGATATAAACCGCTTGACGAAGAGCAGTGATCCGTAAAGCAGGATTGACGTTGAGCTCCATCTTAAAGGAGGCACTCGGTTTGCATTCTTTTTACTTTAGAAAACATTATGGACAGATTGACCGCTTTGGTTGATCCATTCTTTAACTCAACTGTTACAAAACAAAAAGAGTAGTGACCCCATGTTTGTATAAAAGTATAGAGCTCATTTTACTGCAAAAATATAGAAACTGTATCTTTGAAAAAAACAAAAGAGTTAGAAGAAACAGATAATACCTTGGATCTCTTGTTTTCATCTAACTC